CAGCAGCAACAGCAGCAACACCAGCAACCAGCAACCAGCAGCAGCAGCAACAACAGCAGCAGCAGCAACCAGCGGCAACGAGCAGCAGCAGTAGCAACAACAACAGCAGCAGCAGCAACCAGCGGCCACGAGCAGCAGCAATAGCAGCAACCAGCAGCAAGCAAGCAGCACCAGCAACAGCAGCAAGCAACGAGCAACAAGCAGCACAGCAACAAGCAGTACAGCAAGCAGCAAGCAGCAAGCAGCAGCAGCAGCAATAGACTACAGATTGCAATAGACCACAGTCGTAAGCCAAATCACTCCCACATTCTGAGCGGCGCAGGGTGGAGTCGAAGGGGGAGGCCCCCGACATTTAAAATCCTTACTAAAACCATGGAAATCACCCCTAATTAATATCATTAGCTGAGGCTATCTTTCGTGAAAACCTGTACGGATCTGTACGGACATATTCCGCCTTGATACTAAGCCTCACGTAAATGCAAAATCAGCCCAGAGGCTGAGCTCCCTGTGGCTTGCCTGCTGCATTGCTGCATGATGATGAACAACAGCCCTTCATGTCAAGACTCTTCACTTTCCCTTGGTGGTCCTGTAAACATCAGGATCCGTGCAGCTCACATCCGCTCGCATCTCCGGGGTGTTGTTCCTGGACAGGTCCACACTACCTCTGAGAAAGAGATTGCTACAAACAGACTCTCCGAATAGCCTTTCCGTGGGAGGAAGTACAAGCTCCCAAGAATCCATCAAAGCAGTGCAAACCTTTGCATCACACCCCGCCTCCTTCTCTGTGAGCTTCTTCTAGATTCCAGGTGACACTCTTGAGATCTCTTGAGCCAAACTCACTGAACAGAGGTGAAGTCACTTCCCCTACCAGCCTCTAACAATCCTAGGCGTGCTTCCTCGCATCATATGATACATTGAGCATCAATCTCAAAAAAAGAATCATGCAGCACAATCTGTTCGATGGCAGTGGTAACGGACCAACACGGGATCAGCCAAATTTGAGGCAAAAACTACTCGCAGCATCTCCAAAGAGCTCCACCACCTGGAATTGTTTCAGTGTGCTTGACTACTACCCCAACAGTCCTCTAGCTGTCAATACATGGCCAGGGTGACGCATGGCGGCAAACTCAAGCGGGGACGTTTTGCCTGAGTACGGTAAGCCAAAAGCCGAGCTGTGGCAGATCTGAAATGATCTAACTGTCTGTTCTTTAAGTAAATCTTCAACATCTTCAATGACAATGCCCATCCAATCACGTCCCACTGCCCCATCCTGTGTCTCATCGCTGGAGCTCGACTCATCAACCGCATCGGCCATCCACGTCAAAGAAAATATGACAGTTTGTGCCATGCATCGTTCACTACATTTTAATACCATTGCCATGTCACATCAAGATTCATCTCTTCCTCTCCAGCACTGCGTGCACCTGTCGTTGATGCCTGCTACATCTTGCTACCTACAATGATCAAAACAAATCAATATGTCAATATGACAATCCATATGTATAATTGTATATATATATATAGTTAGTGCGTTCGTCTTCGCCTGGCAACTTCTGGCATCTTCTAGCTAGGGTATCTTAAAGCTGCGTCTCAAAACCACACCCAAGTCAGTCAAGCCACGAGTCATTGCTCAGATTAACCCCTTAAGTCTGTCGACCAGCGAATGAGTATCAATGGCGGTGTTCTACTGCGCTATTTTCTGCAAAGGGCTCTGAAACGCAATTGCATTCCAGTGGGAGGCTTGCCATTGGAAACGCTTCAACATACTTTGGACTCATTTCTGCATTTGCGCATAGATCCTGCTCCGGCGCAAAACGGTCATGATGAAAAGGATCCTTAGAGAAAGCAATCGTCTGACGCAATTTAAAAGGACACCCTAAAGGTTTCATTTTCAAATGAGCTGTAAATGTAAACAAAATCAACCAAGTATTGCTGGATTGTAACAATCGAACAGTCGAATGCAAATGGGCGTAGCGGCGTAGTGCTATTATATACTACCCAGGCCTTCCAAGCTATACAGTTTAAGCTCAATCTTTAAGCAATTGAGTCAAAAGCAAACATAGAGCCACTATGAGGTGCTTGTGGTTGGAGCATGAATCGCAGCCCAAGGGTCGTGACCAGAAGCAGGCTGAACCGTACCGAGTTGCAAAAGAGCTCTAGGCGCTTTCCAGTGGCCAGCCAGCACACAGCCATCGAAAGGCCAGCAATCAAGGGGAACCCCAACTCAGTGCAGCGGTCTGACGGTCTGATGAAACTCCGGGAAAAAGAACGACTTTGACTTTGACGTGCGCAAATGTGCCGTGAATCTGTTTTAGGCTGTGTGGCATTCGCAACCTCTGGTGGGCCACGTATGGTGCAACAAAGCTTCCCAGACTGAGGTGATGTTTGTTCTTAAAGAAAACTGAGGTCACAATACTGATCCTCACGAAATACCCCTAGAAATGATACCGCTCAACACGCGTCATCACGCGTCCATCACCTTCCAAACCCTGCAAGCAATCAGCAGCAGAAAAAAAATGCTACAGGCGTAACTTTTCAAGAATCATGGCCTGTTACACGAGGTAGTTCCGGCACGCACTACTGGTTGAATCAATCAGGTTGAAGTGTCCAAAACAGGCTTGCCACTGTGTTTCGCCATCCACAGTTCAGTTTTTGCATGGAACAGCGTACCAGCACTCGCCAGCAACGGTGGGGGGCCCGTCTTGGATCTCCGCTTCGTTGGACTACCTTTCCCACCGTTACTAGAAAGCTTTAGTAGCTAGTAGCTTTCTCCCTTAATTACATAGGCGCCTACTACTATATATATATACATATGTATATACATAACTATAATATACAGATATATAATTAAGTATATATTGGCGGGTGTTCAAAAGGGCTGGCAAAAGCCACATTGACACAGACCACTCCTCCAATTCGCACTTCGGAAGCTTGCTAAGTAACTCTGCAGTGCTCTGCTCAGTAACTTTGTGTTTCTGCCTTGTTTTTAGCCCGCTCCTACTTAATTTAGTAGGCAACTACTTAACTAAGTAAGGGAGTAAGATGTAAGATCCTAGTAAACTAAAGTTGCGAAGTAACTCTGCTATGCTCTACTTGTCAAAATGGGTTACATTGGCAGGTCCATCTGCCTACGTTGCTACGGGTTCTTGGGGGACGAAACTCATGTGGCTCCAGTCTCCCGGTCGCACACTCACGTTGTATCCAAGCCGCCCGGAGCTCATGAACTAACTGCTTGGCAAGCTCAGGCTGCTGCCTTGAGGCCAAAAATCTTAGATCATCTTACCACACAGCCATCGTCAGGAAAACGTATAGTGGTCATTCTGCCTGGATGTGTGTTCTTATACGTATGCAAAATGCTCAGCTTGAGTGGCCACGTGTGAAATACCATCTCGATGAGGATGTTGAGCAAAATCACTGTAAAGAGCAGCATCTTGCAAACCACTTCGAAGAGTTCCATCCACACAAGGCCTGAAGATCAATGGCAGCTGATTGAACTTCAATTTGACTGCTGTGGCAGTGGTTATGACTCTACTACGACCCTGCTAGCGCTGCGTTGACCCAGGGGTCCGTCGATAAATGATTGTATGATCCCTGCCTTTTCAAGGGGCAGGGGCAGGGGTCCGTCCACAGGACTTGACTACTGGAAAGCTTTATTGTTGCTATTAGTACTGGCCTCCAACCTAATAGCGATGGCCTCCACATAGTAGCTTCTATAGTTACTAGTTACTAGAAAGCTTTTTTGTTACTAAGAAGCTTCAACCACATACAAAAACGCTTCTTGTTACTACAGGTGAAACGATTCCCAGTGAAACGATTCCCAAGGAAGCTTCTAGTTACTAGAAAGCTTAAGGCTTCGGCCTCGTCGCACTTCCGGAAGCATAGCCGAAGTTCTGGTGCTGATGGTCAAGATTGACAAGAATGCAATCACAGCCTCCGTGAGCGACTCACTACCACCAAACAACCAGCTGGTCAAACTTTGACAAGAAGACTGGGCTTTAAGTCCAAACTCAGCTTTAGAGGAGCTGCTCTTAGTGTTTGCCTCAACTCAATAACTCAGGAAGGAACAGAGGATACTCGAGGCATAGCAAAGCCAGGGTTCACAGGAAAAAGGAAAACCTGAGTTCGCACAAGTCAACGTGACATCTGAAAGTTGTTGGAACTGTCAACCAACTAAACAATAATCCCAGAAAGCCACGTCCCTTCATAAATTCGAGAAAGATGCCGTGTACGAGAGAACGACAATCATTATCTCTGGGAATATGGTGCTTTGAACATAGGGAGACGCATCTCGAAGAACGTGCACCACAAACTGCGCGCGACTCTTGTGCATGGATCCAGTGCTCTCGTTGAAGATCGTCATCTCATGGGACAAGAAGGTCCAGTCAGACTTGTCAAAGGCTCGTTCGCCTGGATCGGAGATGTTGACAAAAGCCATTGGTACCAGCTGCACGTCGTCGATCATGTATGAGGCTGAAGCTAGAAGAACGTGCAGCGCCTGAGGCTGTAAAAATGATCGTCCTACTTAAGGATGAAGATTGCATGATTTGCATGGCAGCATTGAACACACCAAAACGCCTTTAAGCTGCAGCTCGGACCGGAGAAGTACCAAACTACTTATCATAACAACCCTTTGTTCACGTAGCACCGGCAGAAAACTCCGTGCCAAAGGCTTCTACCGCAGGCTGCGCTTGCGGCCTGGCTATCGTAAGGGACTCCTTGCCATTAAAGTCTTCCTGCCGGCCGAACTTGCACCACAAAGGGTAGTCCAAACTTATTTTCGCATCAACATCAGCACTCAAAAGCGTTGAAAAGGGCTATAGCGGCTACATCAAGGATCCTATCAAGGTCGTCGATGCTCACAAGCGATTCCAAAGACTCCAATGGATGGCAGCCCGACCCCTCCAAAAAGAAGCTCGGATTTTGACCTGACCCCAACTGTATCACCCGGCAAGCAGTACAATTATCATCATGTGTACTCCGTACTCATACCATCTCAATCCAGTACGATCCTTGATCTTCACCAGCATGCGTTGCGTCTTGTTTACCACGCCATCAATTGAGACCTGGAAGCTGGTTGCAACAACACGATCTCCATGAAGCTCTGTGTTTGTCACGACGATGTCCTAAGCATGGCGGGACTGGGCATCACCAAACCCAGCACTTTGGGAACTCCAAGATGTTCCGAAAGCGGCCAACAGTCTAAAGGACAGAACTTGAGAAGAACTCCTCGGCGTTTTGTCGTATAGAGTATAGATGTTCGAAATCTGAACAAACACCCCATACGACGATGCAATCGAGCCAGGGCGCAGGTGTCCACATCATGTCACCTGCTTGTTCTTCGGAGAGGGTGCGTACTGTTTCATCCTGAAGAGGGGACGCGGCATGATCAGCCAAAATACGTTACTGACTCTTGTGAACAACATTGTGAGTTACGGACTGGACCGATTCACTTCCCCTCTCCAGCACACTCCACGTCGGCCCAAGTGCCAACTTCTCTCCTTTGGAACAAGGCCAGCCACACGGGGATCATACCACGAGAGCATAATGATGATGTCAGCCTCCCACTGTTCATTGTGCAAATCCTTGGCTGCAACGGCGGGAACATGCTTGTATGATCGGACTTCACCAGAATCCTCAAGAATCGAAGAATTGGACAACGTTTCAAGATGTTTCAAGGGACATCACGGGATCATGCCGTTGCTCACAAAATACAATGATCCGAGACTCGGCTCCGTAAAAGCCCTTCAGAGCCACTGCCACCTCGATAAAGTCCTGAGTTTGCAAACCTAAATGCCGTGACTCCAAAAAGGCTGAATCAGCCCGGATCGTTCTTCCAGGCCACACTGGACCAACCGAAAATCATTTCTTCCAGGATCTTCGACACTCAGGCAAGTTTCTGGTGGTCCACCTTCTTGTGGTCTCAGCTCTTTCGGAGGCTGTTTGAACTCCAACAGTGCTGACTGCAGAATTGGAGGCACCCGTTGCAGAAGCTCGGAGGACTTCGCCAATTCTCCTTCTTGACAAATCTCACTTTGCGTCCCCGTCCTCAAGTTCAAGGTTTAAGCTTGGACCGGGGCTGCATTTGCTGATAGACTGAACCAACAAAATCCAGGTCCGTCAGTGTTCAGCTTCCAGGACTACTGATGCAATCCATTAGAAGGGTGACAATTGACATCAATTGGCAATGTGTTGCTCAGTCACTCAAACAAACTTTGTGCAAACGAAGCTCGCTGCCTCACCAATCCAACATCCAATGATGAAAACGTATGAAAAGCGTTGTAAGGTTTGCATCAACACGCATGAGATTTCAGAGAGGATAAGGTGAGCGCGGTGCTGGAGCCCACAACATTCATCATGTCAACAAGGCTGCGTATGACCCAAAAGGGTTTTATTTAAAAGAAAACTATAATAGCACGGGGCATGAAGACATCTTGGCACATCCAAGCCCAAAAAGGCGCTATCTTTTTGGGTCTCTTTCTGACGGCTGCGGCAGAGCTGGTTCTCGAGGATGAGCGCCGGCGCCGTATGAGCTTCCTCTTCTTGCGCAAAGTTTTGCACTTGGTCTTATCATTGGACCTCTGCGATTCCCTCAGAGTCACAATTCGTTGCCTGGCATGCGGGGCACGTCTCAAGCATGCCCAACCGCACATGAGCCGACTAAAGGTGCATGTAGCATTTCCAATTTTCAACTGTCTCAATCGCTGAGAACAGGCCACATCGTTGCGATGGAACACTTGTGGCCTCTGCCCCTCTGAACATCTGGAATTCGATCGGCGAGCACTCCTGGCCCCCAACAATTCAATGTGAGTCAGCTTTGATTGGTGCCGTGTGTCCGTGTGTCCCGACTGCGCAACTTTCTTGACGTTTTGGGTGTTTGCGCGTTCACAACGATGCGGGTCCACAACCCTCCGCAAGTGTGCTCAATTTTGCGGAATGTGATGTGTATGGGTCTGCGGCCCTCCCATTGGCGTGGTGGTGTTTGGAGGTGTGCCACTGGGATTTGTTGTTTGAAGGTTTGCTGCGAAGCTGTGTTGCAGTCACATGTTTCAAACAAATGTGCGTTTTATGGGTGCGTGCGAGGCCGCAAAGCATCAAAATGATTCCAAGGGGTTCATTAGTTCGTCATGTCCGCACAACGGTTCTTGCTGCAGAGCCTGGCTGCTGCGCAGCCGTTCCACGGTGTGGAATACTTTTGTTATCTTTAAGCAGGTTGGAGCCGCACGGTGGAGCACAAAGTGCACCAGCACATTTGCATGATTATTCTGTGTTCCGCTATAGTATCAATTTTGGTGGCAGGCGCCGGGACTCGTGAGGTTGGTGCAGCTTGTCGCTGTCCCATGAAGACCTTTTTAAACGGATGTCTTCGGAGGAGCTTGGGTTGCGAAATCCCTTTTGCGATACATCCCATCTCACCGTTATGAGAAAGTCTCGAATAAAACAATTATATAGTGTTGAAGCCTTCCCGCCCTCACTTTTGCAGGAAATCTCGAGCAAAATGCTCCCTTTGGAGACTTCCCTGTCTCATTTTTTGAGGAAATCTCATACGAAACGCTCAAATGGAGACGAAAGCGTACCTGCTTGCCGCGCCTTGCGCCAACCAAACACAAACCCCGCTGGCAAAGTGTGACATTCAGACACGTGCACCCAACCCGGTTGAACCACTTGAGGGAGGGTATGTTTCATCGCTGGTGAAGTAAGACTATATACAGAAGTAAGAGTGTCACACAGGAGAGTTCCACAAGTCCACAAGAATGTCCTAAAAGGGTGTCACACTTAGAGTCTATAAATAGATATATATATATATATAAAATATTAAGATTAAGATATATATTTTAGAGTATTAATATATGGTGGTTGATCAATATTCTTTCATCCTGGAATGGCCATTCATCGCGGAAAAAAGATATCTTTCGCGGATCTTTCGCGGCCTCATCGCGAAGCATGGTCCTACAACCATGTCTAGCTAACATGAGCCGGAACATGTCATAGCATCACAAAATAGGGAGAGACATCTTGCAGCGTGACCCCAGTAGATGGTTGAACGTTTCCACAGCTACTCAGGGTCACTTGCAGCATCTGTGCGACAATTGCCAAATAGAGTCAGGCACAACTCAACCCAATCCTCGTGTCAGCTACCAACACAGGGTGATGCAGCTTGGGGAATGTTGGGGGCCTCAAGCTGGGAACCTAGACTTTAGCGGCACATTCGCGAAACTTTCGCGGATCTTTCGCGAAATTTCACTGGCGCTTTCCCCGGGCACGGAAATGTTGAGGCTTCAGTTCGTTAGTCTGTGACATATGGGGACACTTCCGCCCACTGGCTCTGCCGGAGGATTGCCTTGCGTTTCTATTCTTTGTCAGTCCGGTAGAAAGGAAAAGAATGAAAGCGATGACCTTCGATAAATCTTTCGCGGAAAAAAAAGATACTTTCGCGAACCTCATCGCGAATCTTTCGCGGATAGTTCTAACAACATCTGAAAGGCTGTTTTATATAAAACTCCTTACACGGGGTTTTCGATCAACTCCCATATATTAGAAAAATGTCCGGTATATCCGTTTCATGAGTTCAATAAGGTTCCTTTATTTTTTCTTGCTGCTTGATCTCTACAAATTGTGACCTGCCTTTTGATGCTCTGTTTTCCGTTCCTGCTGGGCTGCTGGGCACAACACAAATTATATACAAGTGAAAGGGTGAAAGGGATGCTCATCGCGGCCTTTCTGGGGCCGGCGTCAAGATCACTGCGGGCTTGGGCACAAGCTCATTCCTCACAAGACTGCTGTTAGATGTGCAGGACAATAACCCGGCATGGAAAAGGACCCACCAGTCCTGTCGCAGTCCAGAATCATTCCTGTAAACGGGCCTGAGATCAGCTGATCTAAGCATGGCTCTGTAGTTACAATGAATGCGCATGCTAGGCGTCTTGCTCAGTAGTCGGTCCCATGGCCTGCATCCAGTTAGACAATGGACACAGGTTTGGTGATCATTGTTGTGCTTGCGATGCAACGTTGCAACACAGCAAGCTCAACATATGGGACAAGTAATGACAAAAGTGACAAAAGGATTTTTTGGGCCGGCTGGCTGGTCGTGCATTGAATCAGGACGGAACACATCCGACCGACTCTGGCAAAAATCAAATCTAGACGGACAGTGTCAGTGGCATCAAATCTATGGCAATCTGAATCAGTAGACTTCAGCATTTCCTCTCCAAGGCAGCTGATATAGCAGAGGCAGCAGTTGGCGGATAGACCAAGCAATGGCTAGGCTGTCGGCCTCGAAAGGCTTTCGGCACTGGCTACTCATCGCTACGCCGCTACGTCCTTCAACATCCGCCAGAGCGGGGCGACAACTCAACCTAATGGCCTCCAACCTAATAGCAATGGTCTTCCTATTTCACCTCAAAACCCTGCTGACTGGTGCCACCCAAGCGCCCATCGGCCATGGGAAGACCTGGACTCCCGTCAAGCACCCCACGTGGCAGGTCACCTTGTCCCAAGCCTCGCTACCAGTTCAGTCAGAGGTGATCATGTGTCGGCCCTCCGGATGTCAAAAGGAGTTGACTTGAGTTCCAGCTTGCCGAGTGAATTTCTGAATGCGGACTCCACCAGAAGGAAGCAAAAAAAAACAAGCAAAAAAAAATATATAAAGTCATCTGCCTAGAGGGTACCAAATTGGCCCGCACAACATTCTCAGCTACACTAACAGTGGCGCAAAGCACAACAACCAGCAACGCATGTGTCATCTGGTCAGGATGCAAGGGCAACCATGCGCAGTGCTTGTCGAGAAGGTCTTTCACTGAACGCTCAATGGCCTGAGCAAATTGAACCTGGAACACGCCAAACACCTCTTGCAAGTCTGGCTATACATCAAGGTTAAAGAGTCAACAACAACACGGCTGCGGTATTCATGTTCGGCCAAGTTCAAGCACCAAGAATCAAGCAGTTCTCACCTTTAAAAGGGATGCCACTGTGCCTCACTGGGTGTCACCTGTTTCCGATTCCGAGTTGCTTCTTTGGCCAGGGATGTTTGCCTCCAACGGCCCCATAGTTTTACTTCAAGCTGTGGGCCAATAACTTCGTTCGGAAACACCACTTCCTCGAGACGATCTGCGCAAGTTACACTGAGCACCAACGAGGAAAATCTTTGCTAAGGTAGAGTCGGTAGACGAGTAGATTCTTTCTTGGAATTGATGCACCAATGCACGGGTCGTGCTGGGTAGGCGCGCAAAAATCGCACAGGCCATCAAAAACATAAAAACACTCAGAAAATCGAAAACCTCTTGATCCTGCCAAGCCTCTGTGAGCCCGAATTGCTTTCGGACTCTCTGCAAGGTCCCCTTAGTGAGCTCCCTCAAGAAGTCCGTCGAGAGGCCAGGGAAGGTGACCACAGCTCTGGGTGGGACTTCATTGTATTCACAGAGCTGTCTCAGATTCAACTTCTTGCAAATGCCATTGCACGAATGAGTCTGAAAGAACTTCTTGACACCTTCTGCCTTCAGATCCCCTTCTCCAAATGATTCGTAATTCCCGTATCGGCAGTGCACCTACGAGAGCAATCAAGTTTTCAGGAAACAAGCATTTCCTGCACTGCATGTTTGACTTCAACTTCCCTTTGCCCATCCTGCCTGCGGGTCTGTCAAATACAGTTTATGCTGTCCATCTTGCGTCGTGGCGGGCACTCCTTGAAGATCAACCACCAATAGCTCTTTGTGCGATTCATCAAAAGAGAAGTGACTGAAGGCTTGTGCTATCTCACCTCAACTCGGGAATTCTCGACAATGTCCAAATCTCTTTCAGCCTCTCAGCTACCGGAAACGGCTGTGCAGAACTAGATTCATCCAAGTCACAGTGGTGGCGGTGATCTTCCTTGTTCACAGACCCACCATTATTGTTGAACTTGACATATGCGCCCTCCATGTATCTCTCACCTATGAAGATTTGGGCATCACCACTTGCATCATGCAACTCATAGAGGGCGTCCTGCAGCGACACGGAGGAAAAAATAATCACTATATACAAACACCTTAAGGTATAATATAGCTGGTAGCTGAAGCCACTCCAAAACGCCAAGAACGAGGGAGTGGAAGAATCCATCGTGCAGCTCTCCTTTGTGAATCCAAGCGACTCGTAGCCTCGAACACACACACACACACACTCACATGTTGGAGTATTGTCCATTCTTCAATTTCACTCAGCACTTGTCCATTCTTCATTTGACGGCCCAGGTGTCCAAGAAAGTGTGACATGGTAGTTGTGATTAGACTTAACTATACTGCACCCACCCCGAACATACAAATTGACATGTCACATGAATATAAAAAGTGTGTGCAGCTCCAGGCTCCAGCCCACCCCCATGATCCAATTCAAGGAAGCAGCCATGCTTGGTCCGGAAGCGCTTTGCAAAGTGCGCCGCCACTGCAGAGTTACGGCAGAACTGCTCCATCTCTGCCTGAAAGTTCATTTCCAGACTGGGTCCCAATCTCCAACTCACTACGAGTATGCAAACTTCAGAAACGCGGCAACACTTCAAGAACCTCAGGAAGCGACCTTGGTGCTTGGTCGAATCTCCAACTTTCCATTAGCCGTTCCTTGAAGTGAAGTTGCTGGGACAACGGACGGCCAGTTGCGTTGCTGGGACAACGTCACAGGGCAGCAAAGGCTCGCTGGGGAACAAGTAAGTGCTTGCAAACAAGCAGTAAATCCTTCCCCATGCTCTCATCAATCATGAAACGAACGATGCGCATCTGCCCCTTGCTGAAGAACCTCAGTCGCTGTTCTAAAACCTAAAATAACCAATAGCCTACATAAATATATCGAAACGTCAGCAGTCTGCGGCCATCTGAACTGGTAGCTTCTTGTTACTAGTAGTAATGCCAGGAGCTACTAGTGGCGTCCTTGCTCCGAGTAGCGATGCCCTTTGTTACTAGTACAGTAGCGTCCTCTTGTTACTGCTTGGGCATATGTTGATCTCCTGCCATTTCTTCCAACTCTGAGATTCTGAAGCCCAAGGCGCTTGACGCGGCGGCACACCCTAGTCTCGACCACTTCATCCACGTGAAAGCACTTCCCATCAAAGCGATAGCGATATCGCCGCGCCGTCTTAAAATCTTCCCATCCTTTGGCACGTGTCTTCCAGTCCAATTGCACTCTAAGACTGATCAAACTCACTACAACTCAAGGCAATCAAGGCACCTTCCCAGGTTTTCAAATAGCTCTGCACCATCCTGGGTTGCGCTGATTCCACTTCAAGCTCAGCACCAGTGGATGGCCACCAAACCCGCCCGAAGGGCACGCACATCCTTATCGAGGCCAAGGCGGCCAAGGTCTGGAGAATCAAAGCTACTATGTGAGTGTGGTGGCACCCCGGAGCACCACAAGCGTCGCTACTAGGAACAAGGACGCATTTCTACAAGCGTTGCCAAAAAAAAGAATTTTGAACTGCACCACAAGCGTCGTAGCACCATCCGAAAGCCTTACCTCACAGGTCTGGTCAGTGTTCATCTTGATGACATGCGCCGAACGCCAGCTGCCAGCCTCATCACCTGAAGCTGCCCAACACAAACGTCAACCTACTGATTGAAACACCTTGTTCGTCAACCTAGTAGCGATGGCCTCCAACCTACTAGTTCGGTATGTTTGGTTTTATCGGAAGAGCCTTCGATGTGAAAAAAAAGGAAGAAAGGACAGGAACCAAGGCTAACCCAACGAGTGAATGTTCCACCCATCAGGCTCCGCGATGTGCCACTGTGGCCCTGTTTGGCTCATCCTTGCAGCTTGGAAACTAACCTCTACGCGCTGAAGTTTGTTGTCAACTTCAGCTTCATCAGGCTTTGGCCCATCCAATGATGCAGCCCTTCTCGATGACACCTGAAAATATTGGTCAAGCCAGTCCATGAGTAGAAGGAGAGCACTGCTTCAGCAAATGTTTACAAGCAACTACTGCTCATTCACAAGGTAAGCAGCATGTCGTGCAACGTTAAACTCTGGTCAGCATGCAACACGAACCGTACAGGCCTCCACGCTATCTTTCCGGCGACTCGTAGTAATGGTACTCCTAGCATTGCCGGCCAACCACCAGCGTTGGAAATGTTGGGAGTAGCTGCTACCCTATCTTTCCCCCCCGTTGGCCAGGCAAAAGTCCTGACTGTTCTGAAAGCTGCGCGGAGGCTGGCCACAGAATTGCTTGCCGGTGTGAACTTACCGCCTCCTAACAGATTAATGGCAACTCTCACGAGAGAAACACTATCACGAGAGATCCCTAGTCTACATCGCGTGATTGCACCAGGCCAGGGTCCTAGGACGGCAAGCTGCTGTAAGCAACATTGGAAGTCATTGCCGTGTTCGTCGCTATTGCCAAAGGCCACTGCATTGATCCTTGGAAACAAACGTGTTGAAAGAACAGTGGCAAACTACCAATCTTGTCCCATTTGGGCGGTTTCTGAGTATATAATTCGCTTAATTCCTGTAAGCCTGTCAACACCTCCACGCCCCAGAGACAACTCACCCGGCCAAAGTCAGCAAAGCCAATCAAAACTGTTGATCGTCATTGAGATTGCACTATTTAGACCCACACATGTGGGCGCAGAAGGCTTGGACACTGTCTACGTTCCGTTCTTCGATGGCCGTTGGGAGCATGTGTATATAGTATATAACACCATGAAGGAACGTAGCGCAACCTCAAACTGATTCGATACACGGCTCAACTTTGCCTGAGGCACCGGATTGTGCTGGAGAGGCTCTGCTTCAAGCTTCCCAGTTTGCCCAGGAATTGATCTGCGTCCCAAGTCTCACCATCCGACAAAAACAACCTCAGTGAAATGAGAAACTCCAGCATTTTGTTTGTGCGGCTGTGTTGTGCCCCAAGCTCGTGTGAAATCTCCACTAGAACTTTACCAAAACCCAAGGCACGCATACGTAGGCCTGCCCTTGGTGTCGCTGCGCAATTCTGCCTCCTTTACCTTGGCTCGGGTTCAATTTCAAGGTTGTGGCAACACCATCCCTGACATGCCCCTCCACACCCTGCAGCGGAGATCCATTGCATGGCCTGCCTATGCCGATATCGCCGACCCGCCTTGCAACCATACATTGCGACGCATTGCCGATGTGGCCAAGGCGCGCAAGATTCCAACCCTTCGAGGCCGGCTGTATAGCTCGTTTGCCCATCTGGATCAATGCACCGTCGTTGCAACTGCTCAGCAGCTGCAGTGGCGTTCTGGAGGCGGAACTCGACTCTGTGCCACGTGCTGAAGGTGACGAAAGAATAAACGTCTCCGCACCTTCGTGTGTTTCCAGCCGAAAGTGTTTGTGTTCTCTGGAAACACGTACGGTGGACAAAAATAGAGAATTGTATAAGAGGACATCATGCTGCATACAAAGGATCACTCAATCAGAAAGTTGCTCGACTGCAAAGCAAACAACATTGAATCTGATTACAACTGTTATAGTACTGCATGTTGAAGCCGATTTACATCCTGAAGGCATTTAATCTCATGTAATCTGTAAAAAGACTTGCAAAGGAATCAAGCCCGCCACTGATACTTCAATGCTGAGGCGCGAGGTAGTGGGAAGATATTTTTGCTGCCCTTTTTCGATGTCACACGCCAACTCGCTCAATGTCTCCTGAACCTCATCACCACGAAATCGTCACATACAGTTTCAATCACCAAATTCGGGACAAGAGTAGGCAAAGTTTCATGTCGACGCTTGATATGATAGAGCCAATATACCCAGGGCTGTACTAATTTGGAGGCCTTTATTAACATTCGTTTACTGTTGGTCCTGACTACTTTTGATTGCCCTTCCAGGTCCCATAGCCCGCTTCGGTCCAAACCCGGTTAGCCTGGTGAACACCCTCAGTGTGGGATGACGTGGTTTCTTCCAACAGAATTTTGATGACATTTGCATAGCTGTGAAAAGGAGCCGCGTCAATTCGCCGCTGCCGCTTTCCCTCATGGCTGTAGCAGTCGCAGCTTGACATACTTCCGGAAATGTCTAAGACAATCACAAAGTGAACCGCGACCTGCAGATTCCACATAGTTTTGTCACCTACAGCTCTTCTAATAATGCAAGTTTATGCGTGATGCTTTCAAGATTAATCAAGGCTCGGACCTGGCCTGCGTCTTGGGCGGCGCCATTGCCACTTGGGTGGAAATGACCTCCATTGGCGGCAATGAATCCTCACAACATTCAAGGTGAGAAATGAGACCAGTCAAAATGTGGTGCTGTCCCAAATAAAGCTTGGGATTGAAAGTCGCAAAATGTTTCTATAAATAGATTGAAAAAGTCTGCGCAGAATAGGACAACCAGTTGAAAACAAATGATCAAACATATGATCTCTATATATATAATTATATATATATATATACATTGGAAACATGTATGGCCTATGCTTTCACACGTATATCGTTTGCTGACCCTATTTCTTGCTATGTGTCCAATTGTCCTTTGTTTCGTTCTGCCAGATTTACAGCCTTTGAGGAAAAAATGCAAACAATGAGATAAAAGAATCTCATGTTTGGTTCTATTGTTTTCCTGCGTTTTGTCCTATGTGTCCGTGTTTCCCTAATTTCTATTAATTTCTATTGCAGTACCATGGAAGCTTAACTTCCATACAACACAAGTCAATTACTCCGCCCACCTTGAATATGACGGGATGGTGGGTAAAGCACGGTACTCCCAAGGACGTCCCCGGATTGTGTTTCATTTTCGCCTGACAATTTCGACCGGCAAGCTGCATCTGAGTCATCCGAGTCTGATCCATCTTCAAAGGGATCACCTTCATCTTGGGGCTCAGCTCCACCACTGGGCTGAACTGCACTATGCTCAGTTTCGTTGCCGGTTACATCTGCCTCCAGTTCGGCTTCACCCACCGAGCTCTCCGGGACGACGGCAAGCTTATGATTGATTTGTGGAACACTTGCCGCCTTGCCAGCGTCTCCTGGAGTGAACACGCAACGAGGGCTTGGAGAAACAAAGAGTCGCAGAAAGGAACACGGGGGGAGGAAGCTACTAGGAACAAGTGCATCGCTAGTAGTAACAGGTGCCTTACTAGTAACAAGAAGCTATTAATAAAAATTCAATTTAATGCTAATAGCAACCATTGTTACTACTAACTACTAATAAGGCACTTGTTACTACGAGCGATGCGCTTGTTTCTAATAATTCCCCTACCCTGATCTGTCTTCGTCTCTGCCTCTGCTCTGCTCATTCTTCCGTCTCTTCGCCTCTTCCCTTGCCTTCTCTTCCCTTCTCTTCCCTTCGCTTCTCTGCTCTCGTTCTTCTTTCCCTTCCCTCCCTTGCCTCTCTGCCTGCCTACCTGCCTCCCTCCCGCTCTCGCTCTCGCTCTCGCTTTCGCTTTTCTCTCTATCCCTCTCTCCCTCTCTCCCTCAACCCCTTACTTGCCTCCTTTCTGCTCTCTGCCTTCTGCGCCGCATGTGTCATCCTTGCCCGCGCGCACTTCCACCCGTGGCAAGTCACTGGGCCTCCAATTGCTCCACACCTGGCGCACAAGCACAATTACAGTATATAAGGACTCAGGACAAAAACTATCAAAAAACCGATTGTTACGCAACATTCTGTCGCAATGTTGAGATAAATCTTGCTTGGAAGATCTTGGGTGCACCTTTCCTATTCCTTTCTTCAATTAAACAGGATGATGTCCAGTCCACCTTCCCGCTTTGAGCCTCACAGGGCCTTTCTGGAGTCTCTTCGTCCGACCACTCGCTTTCGAGCTGCTTGTGGTTCTCATGTGCTGATCGGCATGGGGTTCGAGACACGTAGCTCCGGCCTTGACATGACAAGTTGCACGACAAGTTGCTCCAAGGCAAGTTACATGCCCATGTGGCTCGAGTCTGGCGTCCATTGTTGATCTACGAACAAGGAAGCCAAGACACCTCTTTGCTCAGTTGCCTGTATGTCGCGAAGGAGGCTGGCTTCACCGCGGGAAGCCTGCGAGACAGTAGTTATGGAAAGAATATATGAAAGAATCTCAACTCACGAGAGAATGCATTTCATCCAGTAGCTATATATCCAGAAATCTGGTCTATCTGAGCAGCACGCGGATGGTTCCTGGCCTTGTGGTTCTCCATGAGCCTTAACGTTCCCATCGGATTGGCCCGACAAAGCTCCCTTAATGCTTGCTCAGTATGGCGAGAATACCTCCAACGGGCGATGTAGTCCGGAATCCTTGGCACGAAAAAGGTTCCGCAGTGGAGAATGGCGAGGGTAAAGTCCCTGGCCCAGCCGGGGCCCCATCAGGAAACATGTGTGTATGATACTGTGTATGTATATATATATATCAATATCTGTGTGTACATATGTATATACTGAATATCCAGACGGGTTTGGCAGTGGTGCGAAATGCATCACGTGTACTTTTACAGTATATGTATTTTACGTGGTTGTTCAATAGCATTTATCGGGAAATTATTGGTGCGAAAAAGACGCGTCTGTTTCGCGCATGGTTTTTGTCGTGTTTGCACAGAACACAATGGAATTTCGACTTCGAGGAATCGTCACACATCTGCGTGTTCATCAGCAGGATGAACGGAGGGGGATGGGCAAGATGCTTGCATGCATGCTGTCGTGCACACTCATATGTCTTTAAAAAACGCCGTGTGGAATTCCAAACCTTACAGTACCTTACATTTCATATACCTTCGATACCTTGCGTTGATGTGCCACCGGTTCGTCTGGCTATTCGTGCCATCCCAACATTGTGGATCAAATGTGGGCTGATGTAAAGCGGTGGGTGCCGAAGCCAATCACTGCACGAAACCGTGAAGGAGAAGTCAACGGCCTGTTGTGGTGATGTGTTTCCCAGTGGTGGCTTCGGACATCTTGTAAAAATGTGACGCAGCGTAGGCAAAAGCCCCAAGACTCTACGCACAGTGGGCAGCGGGCAGCAGCTCTCAGTGGCTGAAGCGACACGGTGGCCAGTACGGAGAAAAATGCATGTTCAAACAGGAGATTCGCTCGCCGTCTGGCTCGTCAGGCAGGGAAACCCGGAAGGATGCTTGCGTTCTTTTTTGCTTGAGACAGTGACCCATTACTTCAGGACCATCCCCAAAAACACTCACTGTCTTAAGTAAACCCGTCGGGAGATTTATGTGTATATATATATATAATATATATATTTATATACTGTATATCGTATATCTGTGTGTGTGTGCGTGTGTGCGTGTATTGTCATGCATGTGTGTGTGTGTGGGTGCGAAGGCGCTCATCTTGCAAGTCAAACCTTAAGTGCAACCCAGCTTCATTGTTTCAACCCGCCGCTTTCGAGCTCTGTCTGCTATCCTGTGAGCATAAGCAGCAGGGTTGTTGATGGTACCGAAGGGGACCCGCTGCGTGAAGTTGTTGTCACGCAAGACATCCTCCAGTTCTGGCGCCGGAAGTGAGCGCAGGGTGGAGCGTAGTTCTGAAATGACTTTCTGAGAAAGGATGCTTGCTCGCACCACTTCCTGAATGTCCCGGTCCAGTGTCATGCAAGGTTGTCTGAAGGGTCTCCAGAGTTTCGAGCCCAGATTTGCAGATACTGTAAGTGTATATATATTATATATATATATCAGAGACAAATAGAGATAATAAAATACCTATACCTAGATAGCAATGATTCCCAGATATTCCAAGACACTGCTATGAGCCACTCAATCCGCTGAAGCAAGCTCTGGTCCAGCTCTCCAGCTGCAGCCCTGGCAGCCACTCGCGAGCCCACAATCTTGCTCCACTCTGCTGGCTGCAGTGACAGGTCTTTCTTGTCAACTTCCAAGGCCTTGACAATGTCGAACGCGAGCATAACATCCAAGTTGAGCAAGTCCCGTTTGGCAGGTTTGGTGAGTTCTCTTCGGCGGCAGAACGACTCCACGAACTCCCTGGCGACGGCTGGATCAACAGCTTCCTGTGCACTCTCAACATTCACTCCTGAGTTCTCACCAAGTGGTCTGGGCATCTGCGTTTGCGATGACAACTTCTCTGGTGCGCCCACTGACGGAGTTCCCAACACCTGCCATGATGACTGCCCTTGGCTCTTCCACGTGGAATGCTCCCACAATTGCTCTGAATGAGTTGCGGCCTGGCATGTGGGACGCTGTGGCATCTGCCGCGCGAAATCCACTTGGCTTTGCCACCTGGACTGCTCTGAGGTCTGCCGCGTTGAGTATGTCGTGTTTGCTGCGGGTCGCTCTGTGGTATGCGCGGGCATCTGCCACGACCAATCATTCTCCTGGTGGCGCCATTCGGAGTGTTCTGAGGTCTGCCATGTTGAATGTGTTGCGGGTTGCTCTGTGGGATATGGTGGCATCTGGCATGGCCAATGCTCATGTGGCTGCCACCCAGAGTTCTCTGAGGGAGTCTGCCATGTTGAGTTTGAACTTGACGTGGCCTGAGTAGAACGCCTTGGCATCTCCCATGACGACCCTGTTGTTTGCCATGTAGCATGCTCTGATGTCTGCCATCTTGAGTGTGGTTGCTGCCATGTGGAATGCCCTGAGCTCTGCCACTGGGTCTCATCCCCCCCAACCATGTTGTGACACAAACCTGCCCGTGTCAGACTTCTCCCGCCAGGATTGGTGGCTCCAGTTTGCCTGTTCATCCGTTGTCCACGAATCAGCTCCGCTTCCATGCGCGCCTTGCACTACGCCTTGCTCCTCTCGAATCGAATCGAAGGGCTCGGCGCTGGACAGCAACTGACATAAGCATCGGTGCAATCGATTTGGAAGACCTAGCTCCGAGGCCGCGCAGTATGCCAGGTCGAAAAGCCTCACAGCGAAGCCGAGCGAGACACCGATGTTCAACAGGGGTCAGAAGGCCATTGCTGCCAAGGTTCGAGCAAAGGGTCGTGAAACCTTCCTTTGCCAGGAGCTCTTGGTAGCTCCTCCTGGGATACGCCGTTGAGGCTCTTTTCATGACATCGTGTTGAGGATTCGTCCATGTCTGAAGTGCCAAGTATCATCTCAGCCTGCGTGCACCCCATTGTCATCTTGGCCCGGTGCAGAAACCTGTGACTGGTGCGAACATCGGAGAAGCATTGGGACATCTTTCACATTACGCACGGATGGTTGGTCAATGGGTTTTTGCATGTTTGTGTGAAAGTTGTGGTGAACACATGTGAACACCTCCAGACCTGACTCATCTGTTGAAGGGAGCTGAAAGCAAATAATAAGGGGTGATTGATCTTTCTCGTAGCAGGGTGGGGGTCGAACGTGCCGGCTAGACTGTAAGTCTTCATGGCCAGTCTGAGGTCCAGGCTGCTCTATCGATGGTAGCTGCAATGAGGCTGCTGCCTGTGCATTTATGGGATGTCCTGTTTGAAATTCCTGGTGCCGGCTTCCACCTGCGAAGCATCGCTAAAGCAAAAGCACTGCTAATCCACAAAACCTGGGCTGGCTATCGTGAACAACTTATTTCTGCCTCGTACATTCACCAGCTTGCCATTGGTGGTGCTGGTCAAGGCATCCTTGGATAATTATGATAACAATTCATTCTGGTAAAAGGACAATGCTTCCAACTCTTTATTCAACTGTTTTCATCCTCGGGCTCTGCCAGTCCAAGTGGCATTCCAACGATTCAAGATCCTGTCGACGGAGGGATGCTCTTGTGGCACAATGTAGCAAGGGCACAACGTGCAGCAGCCCAATGCATGTGCCACACGGAACACATAGAGGCGTCTGTTGTTGAGAGACCAGAGGGCGCCATCCTTACATACTACCTCCAAAGGCGCTTGCAGGAAATCCTGCGCCGATAAACTTTGCGTGTAAAATTGATCAATGGTCTCATCCAGCTTGTTGCCATTCTGGAACTCCTTGGCACGACTCTAAGCATGAAGTTGCAGCGGCAACTTATCTAGCCCAATGGCAACGTGGCCCTATCTAGCCCTGCCAAAATGCAATCGTTGCGACTAGGGCATCGAACGCGAGGTGACCGTGTTGGCCGCAACACATGCGAGAATGAATGGCATCGAATCGAAGGCATGAACTGTTTAGCATGGGATTTGTTTATATAAGCATTGCACTATCTCCGTGTGTGATGCGGTTGAGCAACACAACAGTAAGTTGTGAGCATCTTTTTGAAGGTGCACTTTCTCTGCCAAGAGAATCATTTGGTAGGCTCATCAACTCTGAAAACAATGAGGTCTGGCCATCCATAACCAATAATATATATAGAGAGAGAGATAGATTCGGGCATTGGCGAGCTCACAGGGGGCATGCAGATGAGTGCATATTCCAATGACAATGCTACCACCCTGGATGACTCTTCTCACCAAGTGGCTGCGCTGATCTCCGCATGTGTGAAGCGAAGGGCCAAAGGACTCAACCAGCTAATACGTCGCCACGCATCATCAGTAGGCGAGGGCCAACTCATCACATGTGGAATCCGAGGGCAGAATCAACACATGGGGCAAAAGACTTGCTTGGGCCTGCAGGTCACGAAACTGCAAATCTGAAGGTCACGAAACTGCAGCTGTCATTCATCCTGCTTTCATGATTCTTCGGAATATCAGCAGTGGGGGTGTGGAGTTGCTGGCATCCCAAAACCAGAAGATCTGGGCCCTCAAGATATTTTACCTGTGTTGGATCCTGCACGATGTCTGATTGACCTCCTTACCTTGCTGGCAGAATGCTTCCAATTCCCATTTCTCCAGAGACACATATCTGGTGCAAGGCTCGCGCGAGAACAACCTTTGCCGAGCACAGGCAAAGGAGACACAGGAAGTAAGAGCATCTCAATCCCTGCACGACTTGGCAAAGACTTTGTGGGTCGAAATTGGCCACATGAATGGAATGCTCTGCTGGATGCAGAAAGGGATATCATGAAGATCTATACATTGGACGGGGATGGAAACAGGATCCATCGGGCTTGAACCCAGGTCAATGAGGATCCGAAGTAGCTTCGGAATTGGCTGCAAAAATGCTGCAAGCCACAAAAGTTAAACATCTGTTCTGTACTGTACAGTTCCCATACAGAGCAACCTTCACTCGGCCAGCTCACTGGGAAGCTTCCATGATGCTTTGTCCTTCCACTGCGGCACTGCGAAAGCAAACGTATGCCTTCGGGACTTCCAATGAAAAGCCTACACGATCAAGTAGCACGAATAGGCTCAAGCAAACAAGTGAGCCAATTTGCCAAAGAAATAGAACACACCGCAGGATACCGCGGGCATCCGCGGGCATATCTTCAGCTGCGTTTGATAGAGTTCTGGGACAAAAGCCTTTAGCGGATCTTTTGTGGGATATAGCATATAGATGCATATAGCTTGTTTGGGGAGGTAGGGAGGTCCCCGGCAAAAACCTGGTGGCCAGCCCAAGGGTGCAGAAGCCACCAAGCCTTCAACCAAAGACTAAAGAATAAATCGAAGGCTGAAAGCAACAGAAGCCACCTTTGAAAAAGCCAAAGTCTCAAAGAAGCTACCAACAAAAAAAACTATCAAAAAGCTACCCATCCTTGGAATCATACAGCAGCTGCAAAACAACGCTCGCTCCGTTGCCGCAGCACTTCTCCAGCGCGCAAGTCGCCTGCGGAGTAATTGCCAAGTTGAGTAAAACCGTGGATGAGGTTGATGGTGATGCGCGTTCTGCCCACGCCTCCTTGACAGAGATGAACTGGATTTTCTCCTCAAAAAGCACCAAAGACTGCTCTGCACGCCGGGGTCGCATGATTTCTGGAAGTCGAAGTCTAGGCCCTCAGAGCCCTCATCCTTTTCTGAACAAAACCGCATGCGTTGGATCGCAGGTTCTGCAGCTCGGTTTGGCTGCGTGCACAGCGCGCCAGACATCGAGAAACACCCGAATCCAAGGAACGATCCTCATCCCGAATACCAACTGTTGAGAGCTACAAACGATGTGCTGGCATCTTGCTAAATTCCGGCACAGCTTGAGTGCTGAGAGGCCAGAGTGCCATAAAAGCGCATAAAAATAACGGCCCGTGTTAATCCCATGGGCCTTCAAACTGCACAGCACCACATGGCTGCACTGTACATTGGCTTAATTGACCCACCTGCATCAATGTCTGTGTAATGAAAAATCAGGTGATTTCTTTGTACTATGTACTTCAGCGTCTCGGTGCTTCCTTGAGCAGCTGAAACGCCACTTCACACTGCCGTAAAGCGTCTTCCAAGCCGACGCCAGCTTGGCTTCCTGCAACAGATTTGTGGCAGGCAATCAGCAGCTTTGCACGCAACACTACTTGAGAGTACTTGAGATCATACACAAGAATCGGGATGCTTCTATCAGAAAGCCCCTTGTCATTCCACACGTCTTCAACGGGGTCAGAGAAGTTCTGCAATTTACATGCACTACGGCGCAAGCCGGTTACCCGGCAGGTTGCCTGCAGCTTTTCAAAAACGTCTTTGAAGATTTTTGAAGCACCTGCCTCGCTCGGTCGTCCCGACGGCAAAGGCGTTGAGGCCTGCAAAACGGTTGATTCACTCATTGGGTGTCGTGCCACCAACAGACCGCATTCATTAAGTCGAAAGTACCCGTAAAAACAAGCAGTTACGTCAACTTTCGACCATCCGCGAGCACGTCTACATCTTGAGAGTGACAATGCCTCGACAACGTGTCTGGTATGCATTACAGCACTTATAACCTATAACTTACTCTTCAGTTTTGTGGTCACCTTGGCCTTCACTCGACTGAATCTAACTCTATTTGGTACGCTTTCCATCGCCTTCCCAGATTGACACTTGACATGACGCCCCCCGCTAGGGGCAAATGGTAAGTATGGTCCACACACGCAGATATATAATATATAATTATGTAATATTGCAATAAATACATATATCTATATATATGGGGTAGGAATGATGATTGTTGGGGGAGTTGCGGAAGAATCCAGCTTAGATGGCCTTGTGCCAAGACCTTCAGCCGCCGCTCTAGCAATGGCCTTGGCTGTGGATATGATCTGATGCCTCCAGGGCATCAAATGCTCACAAAGGACCAGTCGTTGGTTGTTTGAGAAACTGGGTGTGACTCCTTTCAATCAACCTAAAGTTTCTACAGCATGCTCTCAAGTAACGGAGGATTCAAATGGTTCTTGAACCATGTGTTTGGGAGTCATGATGCACAATCTGAGATCCACGCGCTTGCACCGCGTTGTTGGCACATACACGACAGGCTCGCTGAGTCGTACTCCTCCCTTCCTCAGCTTTGGCAGCGGTTTCACTTCTAGTCGTGTGTACTGCAGATATAGCAGGGGCAATCTACAGAACGGGCTCAGGGGTGGGTGGCATTCATTTGCGACAAATACACAAGAAATCTAGAAACACACAACGGGAACGATGTTCGCTACTAGGGGCTCCTGGCATCGCTACTGGGAGCAAGGACGCTACCAGGGGCTCCTGGCCTTACTACTGGTAACAAGAAGCTACTAGGGGCTCCTGGCCTTACTACTAGGAGCAAGGACGCTACTAGGAACAAAGGGCATCGCTACTAGGAGCAAGGATGCTACTAGGGGCTTCTGGCCTTACTACAGTACTAGGAACAAGACGCTACTAGGGGCAAAGAGTAAAGTCCAGCAACCATCGTGATGCAGCTCGGAGAGCATTGCCCACATACAGGCCGGAGGCAAACTCGACAGTGATGGCGTGGGTTCAGGAAGCCTGTGAAAGATGAACGACTTTGCCGCCGCTCACTCTCGGTGGTTAGGAGTAGGTCAGAATCATGAGATTGGTTTCACGGTTGGAAAACCTTCACGACACATTGATGCTGGACAAGGAACGCTTGCCAAGACGTCGGCTGCAAATCCAGCAGTGGGATTCCCGCGAAGCACATCCACCCGTGTTTGTAGATGCTGGCAAAGGCGCAAAGCAAGCTCTTGTCCGTAGAGAACTCAAATACCAGTTTTGACGTGCTATATCAAGCATCCGGTATCCAAGTTATTCACAGTTCCTCCATTTCCACCTCACGCCAATCATCTGGGAATGCTGCCGCTAAACCCAGGCTGCCCAGGCACCAAACTCCACGGAGTCAAAGGTGGCACCAGCCACGTCGGTATTTTTCGGCCAGGTCCGAGTCCTCGCTAGGCCCACACGTGTGGCGCGATACTTTACTTCACCACCAGGCTGAAGAGTCTGATATATAGTTAGAACTCACGAAGAGATGGATGACATCGTGGGCAACGCATGGAATTCGCATGGACTGCGGGCATCATGAAATGTCATGACCCTTGTCCTGCACTCCCCTCGTTTGAGGCAGTCCAATTCCTCCTGCACGATGGCAAGCTCCTGTTCCACTTCTCTCCGGCGCCGCTCCTCAACTCTGACAGACTGTCACACGTCAAGGTACTGGCCCGAACTGTGCAATAGTATACATACATACACACATAATATACATATACAGTAATATACATATAATATCACATAATTTTATGGCGCATTCAAGTTCACACGAAGCTTCCCGCGAAGCTTGCAGGACTAAACAGTTTGGAGGTCCAATTGCATCGAGGCAGCATCAATCTTGTGCTTTACCCGCTCTTTCCTGCGCTTTGCACGCGTGAAGGATCTGTGGCTCAAGCATGCAAGCCTAGCATATGTTGTGAAACGCAGAACAGCCCTCAATTGTAGCATACTGTAGCTTTAGCTATTCACAGAACTGAGTTGTGCAACCGCCTCACAGTGATTTTGCCGTTGCTGCACAAGAGGTCCTTAAGGGTTCTACAGCTTCTTCACAGCAGCTGAGGGCAGCCTGAGAGGCATATTGAGGGAGGCGTGGCACAGCGCTTGACCGTCAAAATGCAGGAACACCCTATTCAATCCTATTCAGCTATTCAGCAGAGAGGTATCGGCCCCATGCTCAGCATATGGGGTGGAGCTTTGATGCGTCATTTGAGTTGTTGGTCCGCTGTGGCCTCAGGAAGGTCTTTGGTGTCCACATGTGTCCACGGTGACCATCGGCCTCCAAGTTGGGTGGCTCGATTTCATCCGGAGGCCTTGACTCGATCGAAGGTCCGACATACATCCTTTACGCCGGCCGTCACAAATGTCATACAACAAAGGCCTGCCGCTCAAGTCTGCAAGCTGTCGGGCTAGAAACGAAAGCTGCTGGGTAATGGAATGCCTCAGTGCGAAGTCTTCGTCTAAGTTGGAAGCTCCAATTCACGCACTGCACCAAACTTGAATCGGGCTTCTTTGTATGTGATTTCATCAGATTTGTAGATTGAAGTTACCGTCACCTTGATAGAAGTTGCCGTGCCTTTCTTTCCGGATTCTCGCTGAGTTGCACTTTCAGGGCATTTGCTGCACATGCTGTACAGGCCCGTTCCAATGAATCCTGAATCACCACTCGGCACGGTGAGCCTAAGCAACGCGTTCCCCCCCGAAGGACTCGGAGCGGCCTTTTCTTCTTGGAGCGGCCTGTCTCGCCACCACATTCTGCATCAGCAGTTTTCCAAAAAATTGTTCTACATCGTGCTTCATTTGGGGGGGGCACGCTACTACAAATACGTTTAAAAACATATATTATATATATAACTATGCATAATTATGCAATATATATATACAGCATATAGTATATATATACAATGGCACATAGACACTTTTTATCTTAGAATATCTCCGATATACTTAGTATAGGAGTACTTATAAAAGTATGACGTTGGGTTTGGCACCGTGAGCGCAAGCTGCTGAGGTTTGTCAGCTTGGTGCAAGTGAGCAGCAATTTCCACACACCTCGCCATGTGAGCTGCCACGGTTGTCGTGCTCAGAAATCACATAAGGCACAGCAACATAAGACATCGATAGACATCGCAATTACACACTCAGTAAGACAATGCAACTGTGCACCCAACTGGGCGGCCACAAATTCTGCAATGGTGTCGTGGCTTGAAATGTCGCTTCCCCAACGCACCTCAGCTCCCAGAAAACCTGTCCAAATCTTCAGCACTGAAGTACTCGCACGCACCCAGCTCACAGCCAAGACTCTATAGCAAATCCAGCATGTATTGTCATCTTCGTTCGAGTTTTGAATCCTTCAACAAAACCAAAAAGCGAGCCACATGATGATCGTTGTAGCGCGCCAGTCCTATCTGTGGAGGACGAGTGCTCCGATGAAAACGTGGATGTTGGATTCACCGGATTCATGGCGCTCCGCAGGTAGATTTGCGTCAAAGCCTTGAAGCCTTCAAGCCCTTGGGGCACGCTTGAATCAAACCTTTTGTCAAGATTTGTGTGAAATCAACTAGAAGTTGCAACATGTGACATATAAGAATTAGTTGATTGTATCGTTACCTCTGCTCTCATCTCCGCCTCGGGACTCTCTCTTCAAATGTTCTTTACAGCCTGCGCCCTCCCTACCTACAGTGCGCAAGCTTGAGGAGTTCTCAAAGCTTGAGCCAAGCACTCGCAAAAAAGAGACTGCGGCTATCATCGCACAAGGAAGCAGAAGGTAGTGGCGAAGTGGACGAAGACGGTATCGGGAGGGTTTATGCATTGCCACCCCAACGGGAAGCAGTCCTGGGTCCGCTTTGGCAGCAACCTTACATGCACAATGGAGCTTTTTACGGCTTTATACTGCTCTGTGAGTACTGAGGTACGACTTCTGCAAATCTGTGCACTGAGCTGTCAGACCCCTTGACCATTCGCCACAAGGCATTGAAGGCCGAGGGAGCACCCACTAGAAAGGCGTGACGGAGCCGTCCGCGGTAGGCATGCTTCAGCATCTGCCAGATGAACAGCAGTCACGCATAGAACCGTGAGAATGTATGCGACAGGCACAGGCACGATTGGGCCTCACAACCTAGTCCAAAAAGTATAAAGTGCCCCTGAAACGTCACACCCGAGACATTAAGCAAATCAAACGCAACCCGCAAGCGACACGTGGATTCGACATCGTAGGCGGTGAGTTCGCAACAATCACTGGAAAGTCTTACACACAATGCCTCATTCCTTGCCATTCTGTGGAAAAACCAAATCGGCCAATGTATGCCAATATGCGTTGACGTGTTTTGATAGCAAAAGCATGCAAAATCTGCCTCCATCGCCGCGACCGCTGGCCGCGGGTCCAAATTCTTCGAGAGCTGAAAGCCACGACAATCACAGACCTAAGGCGTGTTCAAAGACGTGCCCCAGCGTGGTCCGGCCTGTTTGAATGCAATCCGAGTAGGAGGAAGAAGAAAAAGAAGAAGAAGAAAAAGAAGAAGAAGGGGCGATCGTGCTTCTTCGCAGGGTTTTTCTTCGACTGCAAATCCAATGGCTGCGGTCAGAGCCGGACCAACATTCAAGGTGAAACTGCAAGGGACGACTGCGATGTTTGGTTTAAGCCTTTCAATCCATGTCTTTTCTCTGTTCGCCTCATTTGTCTTCCCGTTTTCCTTGTGAACCGCCTCCCTTGTTACCAAGAGGCCACATCGAAGCCCCAAGCTCCGCAACTTGTCGATGTGCAGGCAGCTTCCAGGACAACAGCCATGTGTTCTATTATGCAGGCGCCTACATGCTGTGGTGGGCCCGGGCATCAAAAATTTCCCCTCAAGAAACAAAACATATGGACTTTGCGGGCTGGCTGCTGCTAGAGGCTGGAGGCTGATGCTGCATTGACATGAAGATCCTTGCAGCTGTCAACAGCTGAGGCCAGCTGCTGAACAAAGGGCGGCCTCATATGGGTTGAACTATTTGGCCGAGGTCTTTACTTGACAAACTCCGCTTAATAATGGTATATAACTCGTTTGTTTTTCGAGGTGCTGACGATGGCAACCAAAATGTCAAGGATTTGAGTCGAGCATAATTATATGGAATCCTGGCTGAAGGTTTGGGTGAAATCCCGGAGCAAAACTTGAGGTAATCAACCCCACAATGCATTTTCACATAATGGTCGTTAAAGCACTAACGACAAGGTGACACCGTCACCGTCCAAAAGCATTCGAGACGACCCCGTCGTGGGTCGTCGGCATTGATGGTGTGCGCAGACCACGTCGCAGGTCCAACAAAACACGGCCAATTCCAGCCTTGGACATCTATAGCTCTGAGGCCGGTTAACAACCCTTTTCACTCCAAAAGGGGCACCCCCAACCAACTCAGAGGCTCCTGCCTGCATTCTATTTCCTCTCCTGTCCTCTCTACCTGGACTCAAAAATCTGGCGACCCCACCTCAATATGAAGTGCCCTCGTTTGTTGCATGGTTACTGCCCTTTCCTGCCCTCTACTCCCACCCCTAGCCAATAGACAGTCTAAGATAGTCAAAGTAGTCTCCTGACAACTTCGTGACGCTAATAATGCGCTATTCAGCGGCATTTGAATCACTCGCGGCCCCCTAAAGCAAACATGTTCACTACCTTTTGGGCGCTCGATTATTTTCGCTCTCCCCCACCAGTCTCTGGGTTCGCCCTACCCGCCGGGACCCGCCCTACGACCACCTTCACCACACACCCTATACTCACTTCGCTCGCCCATCGACAACTCCGCCTTAGCCTATCGGCTTCTTCTCTTCTTCTTGCGTGCCATAGGTATGGGGGTGAGAAGAATGTGTGAAACAATGTCAACTAAGCAAATGCCATATCCGTAGGCGCCCCTCATGCCCGTCAGTACAGGAACTGGATGGCATAGGAAAAGTGCAAGTTAGAAAGTCGATTTAGTTTCGAAGTCCAGGTGTCAACCTGATAAAGGCGGTTTTCAAAATCGTTCTCTGTTGGCTGCGTCGAGGATTTGAACCAGCTGCTCTCGAGAGTTGTTAAATTCAGCATCGCCTTGGCGGATTTGGTTCCAAGTCAAAGCCAAGGTATTGTAGGTCCACTGTTTTCGTGGCCTGCCAACCCGTCTGAATAATACTTCGATCGGAGAGGCCGAGTCATTCTTGAAACTTACCATCCTCATAGGATGTTCATTATTGTGAAAATTTGCCGAAGAATTCTACCAGCTAAAGCAATTCGACGAGTCTTCAAAGTGTCTTGAATGGGCACTATTTTACTTCCAAGTTCGTTGCTGGAGATGTCGTGAAGATTTGCTCTTCTCAAGACTTCTGCGTCGGTATTGGCACGGTTTATATACGTGGTAGCCATTCCCAATTTGTTCTTAAACCTTTCAATTGAAACGCTTCCAGGCGAGAAAGAAGACTAGTTGGGATTTCCAACGTCTCTAAAGCATAAAGAAGTTTTGATTTAATGACGGCATTATATATATCAGGATTTTGTTTCTCAAGCTGCACTGCGCCTCTTTCCAGAAAATATCCAGACTTTTCCAAGTCGCCATAGCAGAAGCAATTCTGCTGGAAATTTTGGACGCGATGTTCACCTGTTTTGTGAGGACTCCGCCGAGGTAGGTGACTTCGTCGGCGTGTCTCATTTGTGAGCCATCTCGGAAGCGGATAATGGTGCGCCCGTTCATTGCTAAAACGTTGCATTTGTCGTGGTTGAGCGTCAACCCATAATATGCTGATTCCTCTTCTACGGCGTGTCGGAGTTTGTTCATTCCTGTCGTATTTCTGGAAACCAAAAGTGTATCATCAGCGTAAAGCACCTCATTAAAGCGCACATGGTCGAGCCGGCTGTCAATCAAATTTCTAGAATGTTTGATTCCAATGCCGTGAAAAAGAACAGTCATGACGAGTACAAACAAGAAGGGTGTCCTCACACGCGACTGGAGATGTTCGTGTTTGACCTGAAAGGACAAGTTGCTATAGAAACTTGCAATAGTTCCTATCGGCTGGCTTTCGTAATTCCAATAATAATAAAGTTATATATATATATGTATATATGTATCTATGTATATATAGTTGTAGTTGTTTCCCCCGCTTTGGGATCGCCACGGCGATGTGTCTTGGTGTGCTTATGAAACACCATCCAAACCACCGAGAGAGATATGCTGCAATTACAACTGCTCTCTTGGTCATGGCCTTGACTTCGATTTTGTTGCAATCCTTATGCTCATAGAATTTGGCTTGAAGGCTTTATCTATAACATGGGTATAGGTCCTCCCTCAGGCTTTGCAATTCCAGGCCTTGTAGCTCTTGTTTGCCGTAAACTAGTTGTGAACTGCAAACTTATTGTTTCCGCAAACTACGGGGCAGCTTACGGATTGACATTGAACAAATCTTTTGGGCAACCAGTTCTCAATGTCCAGTCGCATGTTTGGAACACACACATATATATAATATGATATATACCACTAAAAATCCTTGAGAATGCAACTTAGCATTTTATATAGAACCCTGTCCTTGGCATAACAACATGACGTGAACACACCAAAACCTTGGGGAAATTAATCTTGCACTGACATTCTAACTCATTTTAATAGAATCCCGCCGGGTGGGCAATGTCAACATTTTTATGTACAGTAGGTTATTCGTAATTATTTATTCGTCCCATATGGTCTTTCATCTGGACCAAGCCTTAGCATGATAGATCTGCCTCATCTCCGCTCTTGCAAAACCGAAGGTCACCCAAATCCATGTTGTGTAACCCTCTTCAGGGGAATTGTGGCATCCGTCGCCCACCTTCCAACGGTTGGACATGCAGAAAAAACTGGGAGTGCAAAAAGACTGATCTGCAGCTATGAGTCACAGGATGACCTGACTCGCCACGTGCAACCACTCTCATGTCGCCCTGCCAGGAAGGCACCCTCGCCCCTGTGAGGACGGATCGGTGCTTCTTCCGCCAGCACAGGGCGGTTGAAAGGGAAGCCACTGCTGAGTCCTGCGAACCACGAAGTCCTACGGTTGGATCTTTGAAGTAAAGAGTTCTTTGACAAGTCTGCAGGAACGAATCACTATTGCATTGCGATGCTTTCCGTGAAGCGCTTCCCCTTATCCGTGTGAGTCCTTGGAAGATGCCTGCAAGAATGCAGATAAGACCTGCCGAATCAATCATGCTTGAGCCATGTCCACCCCACCCAGCGCCACCCCAATTGGTTTTCTCAAGGCGAAGCAACAGCACCTCTTCAGTGCACCACTTTTGTAGCCATTCATCCACTCCACCCTCAACTTGCCGGGATGCAGCCTAAGCAAGGATGTTTTAAAAAGGTGCCAGTGACGATTCAAGCGTCACAGTGGACACATGTGGACACAAAAGAAAGATCCTCTTCCACCAGCCTGAAAGAGCACGCCGAGCTCGCCGAGCTCCGACACGTTGGATCTTTTCGAACCTGCCACTCTGTTGGGACTTCTGTTGGGCTTTGTTTTCGCTTTCTCCTGTGCGTTGTGACGCCAAGTCACAGTGTCCAAAATCGTCCCCCTTTGCCTCAGTGTTGTGACGTAGGTGTTTTTGAGGAAGAATAACAAAGAACGCATCAAAACAAAATAATTCAAAAATAAAGCATGCGTGTCAGAGCGATATAATGAATTGTTAGTTTTCACGACCAGTTGATGAGAGCTTCAAGGTACAAAGGCCTCGATCTTTCACATGACTTCATCAAATGCTCCATAGACGCATAGAAGTTTTGAGGGTTCACACTTTGAACCAGCAAGACTTGCATAAGAATCACTATAAATTAGATTTGATCCAAGTGACACCTCCGCGGGCTACTAATGGCAGAAGGGTTGGCGCCTGGAGGCAAAACAAAGGAAACGGCCTACAGCTGTCACATGCGTAAGCTTAGCTTGTCAAAACATGTGCATAATATTGCATTGAACCCTGTGAGCATTCAACAGCTTTCAAATTGTCCACAAGGTTGTCAGTAAAAAATATGTGGTTTTCACACCTCCACCTAGCCTGCCTCAAACTACATGAGCAGTGCTTTTGGCAACGACAGGGCCTAAAAGCATACCTTCGCATCTGCCTTCGCCAAGCCTTCGCGAGACCTATTTTAGTGAAAAGGGTGCCTTCGCGTCTAAGCTGGTATTGTGCGGTGCCTTCGCGATACGCTTTTGCGAACCTTGTTGGCTGTCCACACTTCCCTCCCGGGATAAGAAACAGGAAACAACACATATATATATATATATATGTATATATGTATATATAAGTATATATATTTATATATTCCAGAAAAAATGAACCCTGTCTCCACTACTGCAAGGATTTGCAAAGGATACTCATCACTACGGAAGAGGAAAAAAAACAATGAATTTGGCCTACGCAGGTTGCCTTCGCGAAGAATACTTGTGGGGCCTACGCGATTTGGCTTCGCATGCCTTCCCGCATGCACAAGACTGAGAATTGCCTCCGCGTGCTCAGTTCGACTTTCATATTGACCTTTACATGCCAATCGAAAGACACTACTCACATCACAACATTGTGCCCAAAGTCCCTTGAAACTTGAAACCATCAGCCAGGTTCCAGATTGCATGAACACTACCTTGATGTAAATGGATGCGATGTCATGCGCCGGTTGCTGCTGTTAGCAATGGAGTAGCATATAGAGAGGTGTTACAAAGGTATAGGACTATCAGGCAGCATGCTGTGCTCATCTCAGCCTCCAGCCATTCTGGAGGCCTAGGCGACTTTAAGCGGAGCTAAGACTGACTCAACCAATCAACGAATACATCCGCCCAATGTGCTGGGTCAAAAACAAACGCAGGGTGGGCCAGCATGCGCAAATCCTGGCCTGTTCAAGTCAACTTTCTGGACGACCTTGGAGGAAACAGATGGGCTCTCTTTAAACAACTTCATGATGAATCAATCCGGCCTCAACGGGCGTGTCTGCTGCTGACCAAGGTCGATCTACACTCCAAGGCTCCTGCAACATTCACATGTGTCTGGCGTGGTACTTGTCCATACCTGTCGACATGTCATCATGATCATTTTGTCGAGCTGGAGAAAGTGTCCTCTTGCGCAGCAATTCCTGCGCAGCCTTGGCTTTGAAAAGAACATGCCGTCCCAACAAGGTGCACAGGACCAATCCAGCAACCCAAGCTCTCCACAACACTGACCCATGGAAGATTTCAGCAGCGACCTGATCAGGACTGTGCTGGCATCACGAGTTGGCCCCCCCGAAAAAGAAACATGGTGACACGTTCACTGCCCCAAAAGGCAACCGTCGACCGTCGCGGTTTTTCTTTCAGCGCCTTCGGAGTCGCAGGGCCGCTCCTTCGGAGACGGCCACCCCCACTGAGCCGAAAATGCAACGGAGACCATTGGCAGCGAGAGGAGGCGCACGAACCATGGCCTAAAAGAACTTCGTATCCTCAGGCCAATTTCTTCCACAGGAGGTTGAATTCAGAGTTCTTGACCTAAACTGCTAGTGAAGCAGGGTGACCAAATTATACACACAGGGGCGCAAACCTGAACAGCTTTCATGCAGGCAAGCCTGCGGTTGGAAAGAATGATTTACCGTTTTCGACTGTAGATACTAACTCACAGGCACAGTGCAATGTATTAAAGAACCAGAACGAGTGTTTATCATCTCAAACCCCACTTTGGTGTTTGAAAGTCATATCGTTCTTGCTTGCCTTAGGTCGCAATTCACAGGAATTTGGGGTCTATTACATAAGTTCTTGGAATATCGCAAGTGGAGTCACGTGTTCTTCGAGTCTTTGAATATCACAAGTGGAGTCAACATTTACAGTAAACATTTGTCCGTGAACGATGAGTCTTTACTCCTCCGACATTTCAAGACCCACATTACATTCCACACCCAAAGCCTCTGATCCTCTTTGATGACCGTGTTCATCAAGTCGTTTAGTTTCCTCCTTGCAGCCCAGCGGTCTGAGTGGGAAGCCAAGAATCCGAGCAACATCAAGCCCATAGCGATCGCTATGGAGGCCCATACGGAGCCAGTCAGAACATACCCGAGTGAGAAGAGAAGAAAATCGAGTCGAGCCTGTCAGATTCAAAGACCAAGGTGTGCGTTGTGACAGTTTCTATCCTTGTTGTAACTGTTTCATCTAAAATAACATGAACCAACTAACTATAGAGGAAACCCGTGGAAGCCCCTTGCGTCTGACCCGGTTGCTGACTGTTGGTTTCCGTTTCATTCAACTACTGTATATATCGGGATCTATCGGGGGCTCCTGTCGATGTGCATGGCTTTTCTGGTGTTCTCCAGGTGCTTATTGGTCCAGATGTGACCTAAATTGAACAGCGACAGATTTACGCCAAAGTAAGGACAAAAACAGGACAGTTAATAAGAAGCGGTAAACAGGACAGTTAATAAGAAGCTGTAAGACTGCGAAGAGCAGCGCTGAGACCCCCACCAAAATCTCCATTGAGGAAGCAATCCCACCATTCTCCGGTCGCGCCGCACATGCCGCATTTGAAGTGACGCTCGGCAACATTTACGTTGTTGTAACACAGCAGCCGACCGTACAGCTGCATCCGTCTCCAGCACACCACCTGGAACCCATGTTGTCATGTTGGCCCGATAAACATGTGACACATGACAAAGCCGCCACCATAGCGCAAGTTAGAAATAATTCCTCTAGCTTGAGAAGTGAGGGGACGAAAGCCAGCCACCGCAAACGATATCAATACATATATATATATATATATAAATATGCGAGTGCGAGTTCCCAGGTGAGCTCCCCACCTCTTTTTCTGTCACATCCTCCCCCGCTATGCCTGTCCTGCACATGTATATGGGGTGCCCTGGTCAACAGGGCTCTACACCATGAAAAAAGGCACCCCCAAGCAACTCAAACCTTGCCCGCTGCATTCTGTCCCCTCCCTGTTCTCAATGGGCCACATCGCTTCTTGCAATCCCTCTTTTCCTATCACGTCCTCCTCTGCTACGCCTGTCTCATCCACATGAACTCCCACCCCATATGGGTGTGCCCGTCAGAGTCCGGCTACTAGGCCTCTTCACTATTTTAATTAAAATAAGGCGTTCAAAGCTTGCCCGCTGCATTCTGTTCTCTTTCCTGCCTTCAACGGACCGCATCATTACATGAACTCGCACCCCCTGCGGCTCCGAGGTTTCTTGCAAGCACTCTTTTCCTACCACGTCCCTCTGCTATGCCTGTCTTCCACCTTCTGCCCTCAAAAATCACACAATGTCTTAAGAGACACACACACACACACACCTCCCTTTCACCCCCTGGTCGAACACTATTTCCACCAAAGACGCGCATCTTCCTGGAGGAGTTCCAACCACTTTTCGCATCCCGTTGTCCCCTCTTTCCTGGTAGAGGACGGTCTACATTGCCCCCTGAGCCCCTCATGGTGCTAACGATGCACTCTTCGCCCGTCAATTACATCGCCGGCATCACAACACCCCAAAAAACAACTCCCAAACATACTTTTCTTTGCTCTCCCCCAGCAGTCTCTGGGTTCACCCTCCGAAATTGACCCGTGTGCGAACAACCCCCCCCACACCCCCTAATACTCACTTCGTTCGCCTAACCGAACTTCAGCCTAGCCTATCGGCTGGCTTTCGTGATTAAGTGTCTTGGATTCCAGTATCTGCATCCATTGCCATGTTCTAAGCTGCTTGTACGTCCAAGGGGCGGTGTTGTGCACATAGTCAAAGTGGCGCTTGGCCTCCCCCTGCTAATCACACAGGGAAAACCCCATCCAACGCTGGTGAGCAATGGGACTTCGGTCCTTCTTCTGACCCTCTTTGACAAGGACGTGCTGCAAAAGAGCCTCACGACTGTGCCTCAGGCTTGAGCTCACCCACACTGGCCCAAAAAGCCTGGACAAGGAAAACATTTGCTTATATTTGGCTCAACCCCCCAAAAAAAAAGAAGAAAACTGCTGCAAAACCTGTTATGACTTGCCCCAGTGCGACCCAAGCCCCTGGCATGGTTTTATTGCAGAGTTGGCACCTGTCTGAGTGAGAAGCTGCAACCCATGCAGCATTGCAATGCAATCTGAGGCAACAGCTGGATCGGGCCTTCTCCAACCGATATTCCTCATCCACAGGTCCACAGCGCCCTAAATACGTTCGAAAAGCGGTCCTTTCAGTACAAGAGATTCTTCGGCAGTGATCTGGCCACCGTCAATGCTGTGACCACCCGGTCTCTGAGTCTGTAAGACTGCAACCGATGCTGTTCCAGTCTTCGCCTTGGCGAGGTGTGGGGCAACATGCCACTCACACCTTCGGGCCCATCGTTATCCGAGCCATTCTTTCTCAGGGCCCGAGAGAGTACAGTCCAGGTGCTACCTACTTTCTGAAGTTTAAGCACAAATGTGCAAGGTTACAAGTTGCAACATCGAAAAATGTCTGAATCTGCACGGTTACTGACTGCAACACGGCTGGTAAATGTGACTCCAGTTGTATTTGTTCTGGTCTACCAGTCGGAAAACTGTACCATGCTACGACTCCCACACGAAGCACTGAATCACTTTTACATGGTGTTTTGACCCAAACATGAGCTGACCCTTGGGGTGCAGCTCTTTATGGTTGGGTCCGGAGGATCAGGATTAGATCCTCTCCAGGCCGTCAAGGTGTCGCCAGATTTGGCACACCATGTTAGGCACTTCAGCACTCCTTTTGCTCCATAAAACATGCAAGAAGGCGTTTGCAGCCTAGTTGAAAGCTCTCTGGGATTGAAATTCTTGCCACAGGGTCATTGGACAGGCTGAATCAGGAGCTGGTGGTGCTATGGTGACCTGTCGGCGGCGCGTGGTTAAACACAACCAAAACAAGCAAAAAGGACTAGGTCCTAGGTGTTATGGGTCTTTGTCGATTGTCCGTCTCTGCCCCCATGCCCTCTCTCACACACACACACAATGTGCCTTTCTGGCGCCTTCCTCTTTGACTTTACGCCAACTGCGAGACTTTGAAGCCACAGTAGCTTGCCACACACCTGAGAGTCTGGTTGGCGAAGTCATGAGACTGACTTGTTTAATTATTAATTTGCTGAATCTTGCCTGCAGCTTGACCCAAAGATCCCAAAGCCACTCCCAAAGCCCACTCCGCCAAGGTTCGTCCAGACTGCTGTCCGATCAACCTCTGGTGTCGCGCCGCGGCGCCATTGATCGGGGCCTGGCAGCTCTGGCAGTCACAGTGTCACCAGTCGCAAGGGAGTTCGGCAGGAAGAATGGCTACTGGGAAAAAATTGGCATGTCTTACACAAATTTACACAACTTGTGTGCGCTACTGCAAGTGCAGTGCATTCACGGTTTCATGTGAATGAAGTGTGAAGAACGGGCTTCACGGTTCATTGGTAGCTGTGGGAATTGACGGCTATCACATCTATCACTGTAAGCTTCGGAACTGCTGGAGTCACACAGCCTGTGGTTCCTCAAAAAACTTTCGGACAGTATATGCTGCCCCCCATATAGACAGCAAAGTCGATCGGAAAAGGTATTGGAAGCCGTTTCTATTGTGTACTTAACTCTTAAACACGTTGTAGAGGAGAGGAAAGCCAGGGATGGTCATAGTCATGTTTAGATGGCCTTGCGACACACTCTCAGCGCTGCTGCATGAGCCATTTGGATGCCATGCCGCGACGCTGAAACTGGGACGCCACCACACAGGCCTCCTGGAGGTAGGGTTCTTGGCCCAATCCCCAGCAGCCAAGCATGAATCTCATCATGCTATCATGCTACAAGTCTAGCGGACTACAAACTGAGTGACATAAACGACTTGTTGTCAAGGCGCATTCACCCGGAAACATAATCAAGCACAGGGATTGTCAAGCTGCGAAAGTAGCGGTCAACTACTGCACATCAGAAACCAAATGCTCATGTCAAGGCCAACATCTGGGTCCTTGGTTGAAAGGATGCAACGCCACATCCCTTTGTCTCTGCTCCTCTACACTGAGAAACCTCGCGGCGCAAGTCTTCCACAAGCTTCGAGACTCAGACTAGAATTATCATGAATTATCATGAATCATCAGCCAAACAATGTTTGGCCAAATGAAGATGCTTGTAAACATCCTTAAGCAGCCATCTGTTGGAGATACTTAATCAAGAACCGAGAGGTTGAATTTAATCCAATCCACACGCCTGTTTCGACATTACAAAGGCACCTTCGGGCTGGACAGGGGAGCTTGATAGTGTTGCCAAGCACCTCGCGCTTCTGAATATATAAAGGGGCGCGTGTGGGTAGATGAATTGAATACAAAGCATCTTCCGTCATCTTCCTATCTGCTGCAGGACTTTGCGGCATGCCTCCGCTGACGAGTCCTCGTCTTGTCCCCTTGAACGAAGGGATCTTTCAAGACTGGGCAGAGAAGGCACTGGTCGTGCAGGAGCCTCCTTGCCATGCGAATGCAGTCACACAGATTGTGGTGACACAGCAGCGTTCCCACCTCCTCTTCCAGTGTTGCATCTGCACCTGACATGATTACTGTGTGTGTATATTAATGTGTGTGTGTTGCCAATGGACAACTACGCTTGCTTCGAATTACATGCACGATCCAAAGGCACAAAATGTCAATCATCTATAACCATCTACATCGACAAGGCCTAAACTGTGCCTCGATCAATGTGGCCGACATCCGCCGGGAGCTCATCATCCTCGATCCTTGAGTCATTGGCCAGCTGGTCCAGGTCCAATCCTTGACTGTGCACGATCTTCGAAGCTGGCTTCAGTCGGCTTCAGTGGCTCCTTTCATGTCCGAGGAGCGGATGGTCTCCGCATTGGTGTCAGGGTCGTCCACTCCTTCCTCCGGCTCCCCTCAGTGAAACTCTCAACAGCGGCCGTTGGTCTTCGATGCTCTTCGGTTTTCGACGGCTTGGGGAAGCATGGCCTGGAGCGTCGTCCAAGGGCTCATGGACCAGAATACTGTGAGTGGCCTGGTTGGCACCAGTCTCGCTGACAATCAGGTTTGTTCTTGAACTTGCTGACAGAGAGCTTGCTCAGCCGGGTCCCAAATTCCCAAGTCAGGTACACTTCCGGAGCCTGCACAACCTCCTCCGGCTGCTCGGGGGTGGCACTGGATGAGGAGGAGCTGGACGCACCATCGCCACTAGCGGAACCATGACCTCTTGACGCAGAATGACTCTTGAGACTCTTGAGACGTCATTCTTTCTAAAACGAGCAGCCGATTGCCAGTGAGCAAGTGATCGAATTGCAAAGAAGCGCACAAATGCTGTCCTCCCTTGAAACGTGCTCGTGGTTGTTGCTCAATCAACTCGGCCAACTGGGTGGCCCGGCTGTTCTGTTCCATGATAGACTGCAAGCTGAGCTGGCCTCTGCCAAATGATGTGAAACATCATTCAAAGTTTGTGGTTTCGGTTTCTCGAGTTCCTTGTGTACCAAAGGTCATGCACCCAAAGCACATTGACTGAACGCTTTTGGGGGCTGCTGCTTGCCTCAGGTCAGGCACCTTCCGAAATCTATACAATCTAAACCAATGCTCAGTCTCGGGCTTGACTTGGATGCTGTTCGCTCCGTCACCAGAAGCATCCCGTCACCTCAAACTTGAGAACAAAATCTCCTAGGAGCAAGGACGCTACTAGGAGCTCCTGGCATCGCTACTAGGAGCAAGGACGCTACTAGGGGTACTACTAGGAACAAGAAGCTGTGGCTCGCCAGCTCCTCCAGCAACCAAGGAGCTCATGCGCCGGCGTGGTAGTGGTACGATCGGTGCAGTCTGGGTGAAAGCTGTAGCTCCGACCCCCACTGCTCCCACTGAGAAGCGCCTGGCTAGCTTGATGCCTGACCAGAGCAAAAAGCCATCAGTGTGCAATACAATGGAATTTAGCATTTTCCCCGTTTCTCCCACCCACCCACATGCGTTGATTGTGGACCAGCGCCTACCATGGTGCGACCCACTGCAGAGCGAAAGTCGTGATTCTCGCTGTGGATGACCCTCTCGGACTGGGCAGAGCAATTGGAGGATGAGGAATGTCCTCGGCATGTGGCATGTAGATCTACAAGTCTCCTACCCTTTCTAGGGCAAGACAACGCCATGACATCCAAGGGTCGTCTGATCTGCCACCACTCCTGAAGCAGAAACATCCCATCAACATGATGGACCCTAGTCAAACCGTTTTGTGTCTGCACTGAACTTATTACCCACTCCTTCTTGGCCGGCAGCGCGCCCTTCCTTTGCATGTCACCAATGTGTTGCGCCACACGTTTTTCTAACAAGTTTGCCTTGGCTGCGGAGGGCTATCCCACATGATTGCAAACAACTCCCTGGTCAATGGAGACACGCAATCAATGCCTCAAGTAGAAATGTCAGCGCAAGTTGGTTGAGAACTAATCAGGTTTGGTTACATATGTACAGTATATATATATATGGAAATGGGGTGCGCGTCGTGCGCGCTTGGCGGCACAAGGCACTTCGGGTCAGGCCACCTTAACCTTTGACTTTTGACCAAAACATTAAGCCAACTGTCTAAAATGCTCAATTAAGGCCTGCTATGCCCACTCGGCCGGTCGCAAATTGATTTCGTGATTGGTGAGACAGTCGAAGATAATAAACTCAATCTTTTGATTGCCGCCGACCCCGGGGAGAACGTAAGGGGGAGCGCATAAAGGGGAGCGTATTCAGTTATAATATGTTATACTATGTTATACTGTTATACTTACTTTTGGCACCGATAGCGGGCACATGTTCTGTTTTCAAGCGGTTTAAAGGCGGTTCAAAACCAACGTTTGGGCAGGTTCACAAGCGGTTTGCAGGGGATCCAAAACCGGCGTTACAGTAGATACCCCTAAATGATCCTAAATGTTGATTTGTTGTGGCCTTGGGGGAAAAGCATGGCGGAGGCAGCTGCAAAAAGGAATTCAAAACCGAAGTTAAACACCCGTAGGCCCGTAGGTGTCGAAGGCGCCTTCAGTAACAAGAAGCTATTAGAAACAAGGACACTACTAGGACGCTCTTATATATCTCCTTCCAACGCGCTATCGTATAGCGGTTGCCGGTTGCCGTGTGAATTCAATACACCCCGCATCCGGGCCGACCACCGCATCAACCCTTCCTGTCTTCTTGACTCCTTCCATCTCCTGCGCACAATCCTTACACACTTTCACTAATTCAACTACTCTAAGACGCTAAGCACTTCGCTTGCGCACAAAGCTTCTTGACACAGCCACTTTGCCTACTTACACTTTCACTTTTTGTTTTTGGGCAGGGTCGGCGATGCCGTATTTGATAGCATGGCCAAGCTAGCTTGCTTTACGGGGCCGCACCCCCCCCCCGACCCGCACCTTCTGCACCAACTGCATCACTCACTTTTTTTGACCTGAGGACCACCTCTGTCACTCACCAGTCGTTTGCATAATCAACGGCCATTATTAGCCTTGGCCTCACAAGCTACTTTTTGAGCCGCTTCCGGAGGCCGGCTTTGCATCATGTTTGATCAATTCTTGATCAAAGCTTGCGGCGTCAAAAAAGATTAAAAAAATTACACCACCGTAGACCCCAAACAGTTTGTGTTTTCAAAAACGGGAGACAAAGGATTGCAAGGCAGAGGCGGCCGCAGCAGCCCAGAGCTGGGAGACAAATGTAAAGGATTGCAAGGCAGAGACGGACACAGCAGTACAGAGCGGGCGGACACATCTTAAGAAAGAATTGAGAAGCCCTAACAGTAAACCTTTTGGGGAATTATTCTTCAAGTGCGAACATGATGCTGGTCATGCTGCTCAATCAGCGGGGAGTTGACCACGTGAGGACAAGAATTAAAAGCATGAGGAGCGAAGGATGTGACATGAAAGGAAGCGGGAGACAAGCCAGCCGGGAACCCGACCACAAG